TTCCTAATTCATATTCTACTTGGAACTTCCAACATAGAATGTATATCTAACATGTAACCCATCCGGACGTTCGGATCAAATCTGAACATGAAAGACTCATTATGTTTTATGAAAATCCTTTGAAAAACCATGCAACCCTTAAGACGTGGTGTTCATCCTAAGTGAAATTACAATTATTAATCACAAGAAGCCAGCGTCAATTTCAAGGAACCTTCCGACCAAAATTGCATCAAATTACTTTTCTAAATATCTTAATGGTGATCAGGCATTAAGACAATTAGATAGTTTTAATCCCGGTGATTAATAATTCAAAGTACGCATGCAATCAATCATAAGCAATTAAATAAAAATCACATATTCATGCTAAGGCTCAAGGCTTCGCCTTAGCAAAAAAAATTAGTTACACATATTCATAATTAAAATCATAGGAAATATTATTAAGAAAAGGATTGAAAGCACCTTCATTTAGAAAATCTCCAAGAACCCTAGCAATTCTCTATGTCTCCAAAGTTGCATAAAAGAAAGCGTAGCAAAAAAACCAAGGTTCTAAAAAACGCTAGGCGCTAGTCGGGCGGTAAGCTGGCGCCTAGCGCCTAGGCGGGGTCTAGGCGGGCGCCTAGGCGGCCTAGGCAGATTTAGGTAAATTTCTTGTATATCTTGTAAATAACTGCATATTTACACTTACAAAAAATTATACTTGTATGAAATTCATGGATAAGATGATAAAATAATGATAAAATGCAAAAAAAATATCCAACAAGTCCAAAATTTAAAAACACATTAAGCATATATGTCATATAACCATAGTAAGGAGTATTGTATGATGATACATGTACAACAAGTTCACAATTTAAAACCAAATAAAATGCAAAATAGGAGGAAAATAAAGAAATATAGTAATGTAACTTTTACAAGATACTCAAACGTGTTCAAAACTCCTATAATACTTGCAAGAATGATAAGGTTATTGTAATATAAATGGATCTCGCAAGGTCGTTCTCCACATGAATTATTAAATAATGTGAAGCAAACCAAATTCCAATTAATTATTGTAAAATAGAAATTTGAGATAATTGATTTTATGTCATACTTTAATAAAAACGAACGCCTAGGACAAACAAACTAAAAGAAAGGAAAAACATAAAAGAAACAAACAAATAAAAATAAACAAATAATAAAACAAAAAGAAAATAAGAAAAAGGAAAGGGCGCACCTGGATTCAAAACCAAGACCTGGAGTCATAAGAAAGGCTCATTAAAAAGAAAGAAAAATATGATGGGCGCAGAGTTCAAACTGGAGACCTGGGAGCTAGTGAAGACGCGCTGACTAACATGTCCAAGTCCACACTGGTGTCAATTTTTAGCAACAGCTACAATATATGCTAATTTAGCAGCTTCATGTTCATTTCAAAAAAAAAAAAACCCCTAGCATCTGCGACAATCTCTGTCTCGCCTCGAGCCCAAAGCCCCAAACGGCTCCCTGTCTCTCCGTGTCAAAACGTTCTTTTCAACAGACATGGCATGCACACGTGTCATGCATCCATGTGGTGAATTTCTTAAGATTCCAAAATAAAGGCTAAGATGTGCCCACATTTTTTATTGCTTTTTAGAAATTCTAGACCTCTCTCTCTAGAATATGAGAGATATCTCTTAATTCAATTGCAGGACCCCTCTCATTTCAAATTTCACTCGACCCTTTCTCCCATTTCTCTCAGACCTCTCTCTCTCTCTCTCTCTCTCTCTCTCTCTCTCTCTCTCTCTTTTAAGATTAGAAAAAAAAAACAAATAGCCTCATTTCCCTATAATGAAGAACCCTAGCCGCTCCTCATCTACCATTTTAGCTCCAATGCTTGACCCTCCTCTCTCATTTCAATACACCCACTCATTTTTAACTGCACACAATAATCAATCTTCTCTGCAAAAACCAAAACCAATGAGTCTTACCATGGAAATGATGGCACATTGAAGCTCCAATCTTCCCACAGAGGTAAGCATTGCCCCTGCCATTGTTGAATATGTGTCCATATAATGATTTGAGACAGAAAAAATAAGAAGACTAACACATGTTTATATATATATATATATGTATGAGGGTGAGGAACCGCCTAGCACCGCCTAGGGTCGTCTAGGCGCCCGCCTAGAGCCCAGCCGATTTTTCCAACTGATTTGCAAGAAATCACCTAGGATCACCACCGTCCAACGCCTAGGCGCCTATGCCGTTTTTTAGAACACTGAAAAAAACAAAGAACGACAAAGCAATATATTTGCTAAGCTCACACACAAACCCTAAAAACAGGTCCTTTATTCCCACTAGGAAACTAAGAAAAATAATAAAATATCTTAGAAAATAAAACCCTAATTAAACTAGGGGAATCTGCCAAGTACTTGTCCAGCCACGTTTTAGTCTCAGATCTCCTCCAAATCTGGCCCAAAAAAGCTTGTTTTAAAGATTAGGATGTTCTGAACACATTTCCAGAAGGCCACGAAACCATCTGAGGTCATTTTGGGCTCCAAAAATGCAATTTAAGCCCAGAAACATCATTTTCCAGCACTGCGCGCTGCTTCTTTATTTTATCGTCAGACAATAACCGCTTGGTAGAAAAATCCCAAATTTTGTTACGATCAAGCTTAGTGACTCACGAACGTCCTCCAACTAGAATTACTCCAAAATTCGTCCATTTGGCCCTGTTTTCCTCTAGAGTAAGTCGAAAGTCCTATATTGAAAATACAATTCAAAGTATCAAAATTCTTTCAAAATATTAACCAAAATATACTAAGAATAAGGTAAAATATATAATATAAAATCTACTCATCAAAATACCCCCAAACTTAGCTTTTTGCTTGTCCTCAAGCAAAATAAAACTAGAAAACAAAAATAAAAACTAACAAACTAAAGACTTAACTAAAATTAACTGACAAAAAATTTCACCTTCAAAGTTGCAATCCATAGAACACGTTAAAAATCAGAACTCTTTTCAAAAGTTCCAACCAATCCCACCACATAGTCTAAGCCATTTAGAATCAATTAGAAAAGAATTTACAAACTTCCTTTGGTGTAAAGTGAACCAATATAGTAAAGGGGACTCAACTAAAACTCTTACCTCTCGTCCTTCTTTATTTCACACATACTAACTTTAAATATAACTATTTTTCTTTTTCTTTTTCTTTTTTTCTTTTCTCTTTTTTTTTCTCTTATATAACATTTTTTTTTAGTAACAGTAGTGGTCGTGCAATGTCGATTCACTTAAGCTTTCGATCCAACCCATGTAGCGAGCTTTGGGTTAATGACCCCCAAACCACTAGGGCTTTAAGGCACTAGGTGTAGAACACCCCTAAGGACTTATTAACCCGAGCTGAAAAGGCTACGAAACCAACTAACCATCTTGCCCCATGCCAAAACTCTACCGTTTGACGCGAGAATCACTACTGATTAGGCAGGATTGGGCTGGTTACCAGGCAAAGTCTTAGGTGAGACAATTATTACTTTATAACACAATAATAACTAACTTTACTTAAAACAAAAGTTAAAAATAAAATTAGACTAAAAGTAAGTGTTTCAATCTCACTCCCCACAAACCATGTTGATGTGATGTGCAAAATTCAAAGTATAATTTATGAATTAGTGTCTAAGCAACGATAAATAGAAAAGACTCTACTATGAGATTAATCTTCACCATGTCCATTTGTTTTAACGTTTAAAATAATCTATGAATATTAAGTTAAAAAGAATGAAAATTCTTAACTGACATAAAAAAAATTAAAAGCCAATTTACTTTCCCACCCCAAACTTATTTCACACGTTGTCCTGAAGGTGTGAAAAATAAATAGAAACTAAATAAACTAAATAGAAAACAAAACTGGAAAAGATAAAACAAAAGCCTAGACTAAATAAACTAGAAGAAAAAGGAAAATAGAAAAGAAACAAAGAAATTAAAATAAACAAATGATAGAACAAACAGAAAAGAAGGAAAATAATCACCTGATTCGAAAGCAGGACTTGGGGCCATGTGAAAGGCATTGGAAACATAACAGAAAAATGATACAAAAATGCGCCAGGCGCTGGGATGGAACTCATGAACAGGAGCTTTGTGAAGACGCGCGGACCAATACGGGCAAGTGCACACTTGTGTCAAACTTGAGCAACAACTGCTATAGAAACAGGTTCAGCAGTCTTCACTTATCATTTCAAAAACCCTAGCTATTCTTGAACACGCATTAGATTCCCTTCCACTAGCCTCGAGCCCAGAGCCGCCAAATGGCTCTCTTCTGTCCATTCACATCCCCTTGTCAGATGAAGAAGAATAATAATGTTATTTGTAAACCCCGAAGCAGCTTGTTCTCTCTAGAAAAATGAGAGACATCTCTCATGCCTCTTTCTTTTTCGCTTCTCTCAAAAACTCAAGAGCATTCTCTCTCTTTAGAAAATCCAAAGAGACTCTCTCGGAGCTCTTCCCATGTTCAAAACTCTCAAGCCCAGCCATCAATTCAAACCTCCATTTCACAGCAGCTTCTTCATCCTCTATAAGCGCTGCATCCTTAGCCTTCCATAACCTAGCAACACTCACACATCCCAGAGTACCTAGCCGTGCTGGAAAATCAGTAAAATTGAACCCCAAAAGTAAAATCAGCCTCCAATTTTTTTGATTTCATTGTCAGATTTATTTGTTTTAGAGACATGGAACAAGAACTAACACATGCATGTGGTTTTATAGGCGTGAGGACCCCTAATGGTTGCAAATCCGAGCCGATCGACACCATTCGCTGGTTTCTGTTGAAACTCGAAACCCTTCAGCTGCTGCCATGGAAATAGGAAGGTAGGATCTGTGCATCTATTTAACTTTACTCGAGTAGCTCAATATGGTTGTTTTCATGTCTCAGATACTCCATATTGCATGTGTATACTTATGTTTATTTGGTTTGTGGGCACAGGTCCTCGATCTGGAAGCTTAATAATAACAAGGAAAATAAAAACCAGCTATAACATTACAGATCCTGGGCTTGCAAAGGTAAAACTGTTGTTCTCCACCGGTGATGAAACCCCATTTCTGAAAGTGATGCCTCAGGACCCCCTGCATGTGTCATAACTCATAAGGATGTGTTGTTTTCTGTTTCTTCGTACAGGGCACTTGGATCTTCGACAGATCTGAGAGGAAATGGTGTTCCAGCTTCAGATCCAGTAAGAAAATGCAAGAGACATCTCAAAGTGTTTGATCTATGAATCTTTGCACCATTGAGTATTTAAGTGAGACATAGTCTGGTTCATGAAAGGCATATGCTGAGTAATACTCTGTTCTGGTATATGTAGGAACCCCAATGTGGCTTCGGTGCAGCAATGATAAAGTACATGAACCACGCAGACATCTCGAAATCTGTTGTCCATATGAAGGTAAGACAAATTCCAGACTCTGTTTGGATCCTGTTCTATATAAATGTTTGTTCTATGTCCCCGCATGTACTCATTTTGGTGTTTTTTTTGCAGGATAGGCAGATCAATAATAGATCCGAGTGAAAGAAAAGGAATACACCCGCTTCAGTAAACAAGAACAGTAAGAGCGTCTAAAAGGCCTGATTGGTGCATATGGGAGGTACAATTCGAATCCCTGCAAGTGTAATTGTTAGAGATCTGGTAATAAAAATTGTACTCAGTTTTGTGGTGTATGGAGATGTGATTTAACTGTGCTCTGCATCCATGCATCGCAAAACTGAGCTGCAGAAAATAACTCCTCAAAATTTATGCCATGAAACTAGATTTGCAACAATTACCCCCAAACTTGCATCTGTGAATGACTTCATGTTAATTACTTGAAATTACAGCATATGATAGATGTGGTTGATGTTACCCGTGAATTTTCTACGCAATTTTCATGTATGTTGTTGTAACTTTTGCCCGACTGTAAAGTCCGTACAGCGTTGCATTCTTCTCGTCCTCTTGGATTAGGTATTGTTTGACTAGGAAATGTACCCGATGCTCTTTTTGAAACTTGCAATGCAATCCGCTCAATTTGTTTTTCCATATTTTTCATTGATGCAAGTAGATTTTGGATTTCTTGACTAGTAGTATTTGCTAATTTTTCAATTGCAACCTCCCAAGCAGTTTTAGGTGCAGCAGGTTGCTCTACTTGTTGATGAAATTGTGGCCTAGGGTGCTGCTCTTTGTCTCACTTTAAATTAGGATGATCTCTCCAACCCGGATTGTAGAAATTTGAATACAGGTCATATCGGGGACGCTAAAAATTATTAAATGCATTAACCTGCTCTGCTGTAAACTCCGGAAAATCATCTTTATGTGGACAACTCATAAAATCATGAGTTGTCATGCTGCAAATGCTGCAAGCAGCTTGTAAGGGCTGTTTATAGCAACATGTGAACCTGGAATTCTTTGTAATAACATGTCAAATTTTGCATCAAATATTTCAAGCTTTTTCTCCATTTTTTCAATTTGTGCCGACACATATGGAGAACCATTAGACATCTCAAAAACAGACCTAGATTCTGGCTGCTTAACTGCCCATTGTTGTGTATCTGCTGCCATTTTTTCAAATAATAAACAAGCTTCTTGTGCAGTTTTATCCTTGTACGAACCTCCGATGAAGCGTTGACTAGAGTTTTTGTAGTCATATTTAACCATCTAAAAAATATATGCATTTGATCAGTACTGTTAATACCGAAATGTGGACATTTTCTAATCAACTCCTTGAACCGTTCCCACGCCTCATGAAACTCCTCATTTGGTTTTTGGGCAAAAGATAAAATCTGAGTTCTTATGTCAAGAGTCTTTGAAGCTGGGTAATATTTGCTTAAAAAAATTTCACTGAGTTGGGGCCCAAGTTGTAATGCTTCCAGATGGAAGTGTGAGGAGTCATCTCTTTGCTTGATCTTTCAGAGTGTATGGAAATAAACGGAGCTTAATATATTCGGCTGAAAATCCTCTCATCAAAATATTCTTGCATCCCATTAAAAATTCTGCAATATGCATGTTTGGATCGTCAGTTGATAACCCATGAAATGTAGGTAGAATATTCAACATGTGTTGCTTTATTTCAAATGTAGACCCTTCTTCCACTGCTGGATAAGTAATGCAACTTGGTATATTAGTGTTGTGAGCTGTCAGTGAATCTCCCAAGGGCTGACCAGCCTTTGGAATAACAAACATCATTTTTTCCTTACTGTGTAGGTCCCCAGAAAATAAAGACTGCAGAAAAGTCCCCTGCAAAGAAGGAACCCACAGCAAATTTTTCTCTCTACGTCCTCTCCCTAAAGTTTGTTCAAGTTTTGGACTGCACTGTTGAATGGGTGTTGACCATGCACAGATTATCTTTGTAATCAGCATTGTACTGTTGTAATCTGTAAAAATAAAATAAAAACAAATTTTTATTTTATTTTATGTGTAAACAACAATAACTAACTGAAAATCTGATTAGAACGAATTATTTTAAATAATCCCCGGCAACGACGCCATTTTCTTGATAGGGATTTTACTACACATGTGAATGGACTAAAAACTCCTATAATACTTGCAAGAATGACAAGGTTATTGTAGTATAAACGGATCTCGCAAAGTTGTTCTCTACTGGGATTATTAAATAATTCAAAACAAACCAAATTCCAATTAATTATTGTAAAGTAGAAATTGAGATGATTGATTTTATAACCTATTTAAATTAAAAACGAATTTAATTAATAAAAGTAAACTAATCTGCAATATAAAAATTGTAAGAAAATGAACTAGTTTTGGAGAAATCAAATTAAGAAAGCACTAGGGATCCACCATCACCTAGCAATCCTATAAACTTTTATCAATTACCTATGATCTACACATGCCACTTCGAATGTTAGATTTTCCTAATTCATATTCTACTTGGAACCTCCAACATAGAACGTATATCTAACATGCAACCCGTCCGGACGTTCGGATCAAATCTGAACATGAAAGACTCATTATGTTTTATGAAAACCCTTTGAAAAAACCATGCAACCCTTAAGACGTGGTGTTCATCCTAAGTGAAATTATAATTATTAATCACAAGAAGCCAGTGTCAATTTCAGGGAACCTTCCGACCAAAATTGCATCAAATTACCTTTCTAAATATCCTAATGGTGATCAGGCATTAAGACAATTAGATAGTTTTAATCCTGGTGATTAATAATTCAAAGTATGCATGCAATCAATCATAAGCAATTAAATAAAAATCACGTATTTATGCTAAGGCTCATGGTTTCGCCCTAGCAAAAGAAATTAGTTATGCATATTCATAATTAAAATCATAGGAAATATTATTAAGAAAAGGATTGAAAGCACCTTCAAGTAGAAAATCTCCATGAACCCTAACAATTCTCTCTGTATCCAAAGTTACATAAAAGAAAGCGTAGCAAAAAAACAAAGAACGGCAAAGCAATACATTTGCTAAGCCCATGCACAAACCCTAAAAACAGGTCCTTTATTCCCACTAGGAAACTAAGAAAAATAATAAAATATCTTAGAAAATAAAACCCTAATTAAACTAGGGGAATCTGTCAAGTACTTGTCCAGCCACGTTTTAGCCTCAGATCTCCTCCAAATCCGGCCCAAGAAAGCTTGTTTTAAAGATTAGGACGTTCTCAACACATCTCCAGAAGGTCACAAAACCATCTGAGGTCATCTTGGGCCCCAAAAACGCAATTTAAGCCCATAAATGTTATTTTCTAGCACTGACACTGCTTCTTTATTTTATCGCCAGACAATAACTGCTTGGTGGAAAAATCCCAAATTTTGATACAATCAAGCTTAGTGACTCACGAACGTCCTCCAACTAGAATTACTCCAAAATTCATCCATTTGTTCCTGTTGTGCTCTAGAGGAAGTCAAAAGTCCTATATTGAAAATACAATTCAAAGTATCAAAATTCTTTCAAAATATTAACCAAAATATACTAAGAATAGGGTAAAATATATAATATAAAATCTACTCATCACTGGCCCTAAGGTGGATTTTGGATGGAATATTCCAAGATATTTATGTAAATAAATATCTTGGAGTAATGAGGTAAATATCCTAAATAAATTGAATTAGGATAACTTACTTGAAAGACGTATTCTTTGATTAAGAATGTATTTAAGATAAGAATAAGACTTGTCATTCTTGGGAAATAATCCACATGTCAGCTCCATGATTTTTGGGTTTATTTTTGGCTCCACAAATGCTTCCACACTTGCTCGGTTGCTCGCAGAAAAGAGCAGGAAATGTAGAAATCCAAAGCTGTCACGGAGTTTGTGTCACAATTTGAGGTAGATTCCCTTTTTGATTTGGAATTTAAATTCTTCTAGGAAAGGGAATGTAATTGCCACCAAAACCTATTTAAGTCCACGTCAAGCATGGGGTTATATAAATTTAAAGTGGTGAAATTAAAACCTTGCAAGAAAGAGATAAAGCCAAAGGATATTTGTTCCCCTTCCCTAGCAATTTTCTTCATTTTCCCATGCAAAGAATTGTGTTTTGTTGTTTTTCTTCTTCTCCAAGGCAAGGAAAAAAAATTAATTTTCTCTTGCTTCTTGATTTTTTTAAAGCCTTGGGGCTTAAATATTGGCTCGATGAAGGTCGAAGACACAAGGAATTGTGCAATCATGGGGCTGTTGTGCTACTGCTGATGTGGTTGGTATGGCACAAAAATGGCTCGGATTGGGCTGAAGGCTTGTCACACGAGATGCGTTGTCACTGGAAATTGAACTTAGTGCTAGGATTCCGCTTTCTGTCTAGCTCAGGTGATGAAATTGAATGTACTTTGTGTGTAACTAGGGTGGGCCAGGTGCGTTAGGCTTAGGCCTGTGCGCGTAGAGCTTGGCGCTAGGGCGTCGGTCCTAAGCTGCTAGGCTTGGGCTCGTGCAGTGATGGAGGGAGGAAGATAGGCATGGCTGGGGTGCGTGCTCTACCTATCTTGTGAATTGGGCTACTTAGTCTCTAAACTTCTTGTTGAGATGTCTTTTGATTTGTCTTCCTCTATTTATGTAGATTCGAAATTCGGTTCAATTCCTAAGACTTCTCTAAACATGAAGAGTGTGCACATTGCTCTCAGGATCCCTGTTGAATATCGTAAGTAGCGTTGGCTGCTGAGTTTTCTTCATTGGGAGAAAAATGATATGCCCCTATAAAAGGAGATTAGAAGGACTAAGGGTGAGGCATTCGCTTATCCATCGTTACCATAGAGCATGTTGCTAATAAAGGCGGGAGAAAGAGATTTTCGTCGCCTACTTGAGAGCCGTTGGTGGAAAAGAAGTCGAAGACTTCATCTACTTCTCGCAAGGGTCCGTCTACTACTATGAAGCTCATGATTGACTTGACTTCTTCCAAGAGGAAGAAAAAGGTTACTAGATCTGAGCCTGTAAAGTCTGCTGCTCCGAGGGTTGCTAGAACAGTCGTTGACGTGATTGCGTAGCGAAGGATTTCTGTCGTGCCTCTTGTGTCTATTTTTATTCCAAAACAGCCTTTTGTGCCCAAGTCTGATCTTATTTTCGAGGTGCATGTAACGATGAAGAGCAATGATGACGATTCCACTGACAAGGCGATGCCATGACAAGTCTTCCTGTTGAGAATGAATCGCTTGTCCGCATGAGCAGTCGTGAACAACCTGCACAACCAGCCTTAGGGGAGTTTTTAGAGATCCTTGCACTATTGAAGCCCGATCTGCTTAAGGACACTAAAGCATGTGCCAAGTTTGTTGATGGAGTAAGCAAGGTTATCGACTCTAGTTTTTTCGCGAGGTATAAGGCTTATTCGCAAAAGGGTTCCTTACTTGCTACGATGCTGAAATCTGTGATCTTAGCGGTCAAGTACACGGGTATGGAGTAGGATTACGCCAAGGCTTATAAAGAGATAGTGGCAACCATGGTAGCAGAAACTTGCTCGGCTACTGAGAAAATTAAAGAGTTGGAGTCTGAACTTGCCTTTTTGAAGGGATCTGATGCCTCTACCCCTACTGCTTAGTAACTTGAGACTGCTCACCAAGAAATCAATAACTTGAAGGCTTAGCTTGACGTGATTTAAGGGAAGTATGGCATTGAGGAGAAGGAAATTGAAGTCCAAACATTGCTATTATATGACCTTAAGTTTGCCATTTCAAAATTTCGATATGTTCGTGATATTAGATGTAGAGCTGCTCGCCATGCATAATGACATTGTTTGACTCAAGAAGGCCATCAATAGACTTGAGTTAAAGGAAGTGGAGCTACAAAAAGCGTTGTCTGCCAGCGAGAACCTGAAGAAGGAATTAGATGAGTTTTAAATGCTCGTATTGACTTTATTAAGGAAAATAAGCAGTTGAAGAGCGAGAAGTCTAGTCTTAAGGTTATCCTTGCCTAAACTCAAGCTGGCTTCTACAAACTTGGCTATATAGATCATTTTCTTGGTATGCCATCTGACTACATCTTCTTTGATAAGGACCTCGAGCTTTTTGTTATTTCTTTCGATGATCTGCTTAAGTTTTCCTTTGAGAACGCCATTGGTGAAGCAGCTGAAGATTAAGCTGCCCAGGTAGATGTGGTCGAAAGTGGTGCCGCCTAGGCAGAGGCGGCTGGTAACAGTGCTGCTCAAGATAAAGTAGTTGTACATAAAGCACAAGATGTTGTTGTTGGTGGTAGTGATGCGGCTGCTGAAGATGTCCAAGCTACTGAGGAGTAGTTTTTTTAGATAAACTTTAGGGTTTACTTTCTTTTCCTTTCCTGCTTTGCTTTTTCCTTTGCTTGAACTATGTTGACCTTTGTGCCAATTTACCAATTTGCTAGAAATTAATAAACTATTTTTCTTCGTTGTACTTCATCTTTGTCTCTATGCCTTGCTTTAAGCTTTAGCCGTAGAATGAACAACTAAGGAGACTACTTTGAACAAAGTTGTCAAGCCCATATTCATTGCTTTAGGCGCTAACTTCGGGTTGTCAAGTGCGATTCTTCACTCCCTTGAGGCATCTTTTGAAACTTCTAACTTGCAGGGCCGGATGACCTCCGTAGTTGCATGTTTCGTATCAGTGGTCCACTAGATCTTTAACCACAAGGTCGTTAGCGAAGCGCGCTATTTTTTAATAAGCAGATAGGCTTGCATGACTTATGTGACTGCCGATCTAGGCTTAAGACCTCTATGAAGTTGTTAACCAGATAGCTAGCAATCAAGCACCTTACTTACAAAAGCAGGCGAGTCTGCGTGACTACTCAGTTGTTAACTTCAATCTTCTAGGGCGTTGAAATGTTGAGTTTTGTCTCTCATTGTTGCCTCCTGACCATTGGCTACTTAGTTGGTCGTCATTTCTCCCATCCTTTGAGTTGCATGGCTTACATCACAACATACTAAAGATTGCTGGGACACAAAATTCGCTACCCTTTCGCATCAAAAGTGTGTGGTTCTATGGAATTTTGT